TCACTGGAAAAAGGGGCTGAGTTACAAGGATAAATCATGAGATTGTTTTTGCTACAAGATTCTGAGGTGTCTTTAAGACTTTTTTTTCCTTTTTTTATTACATATATCATTTACATTTAATCACTATACATCTTTACAGTGTACAACATAGCTTTCCCAGCATGAATATCATCAAAATAAAGACATTATCATATACATTATCAACAGCAATTAACTTTTCATTTTTGTGTCAATTAAATGTATTTTTCCCATTCCCTACCTTCCCTCCCCCTACTAACTACTCCGTTATTACCCCCATCCTTACTATCTCTAATATCTAGAGTTGCCCTCCCTGCTACTGTACCTTCCAAACTCATTTTCTGCTAGAGAGTGCAGACATTCAGTATATATTGAGTAGAGAGATACAAAGTGTGTCTTTCAGTCTGACTTGCTTCACTTACCATACCCATCCACTTTGCATCACAAGTCAGGGTTAAGGAATCTTTAAGCATTTCAGTAGAGATGTTGCTATATATATATCTATATATATCTATATATAGCAATATATATATAGATATATATATATATATAAACACACACACACACACACACATATATATATATATATATATTTGACTAGATATATAGGTTTGAAATTCAGAAAAAGAAGTCTGGATTAGAAATAAAATTTTATGAGTCTTGTATTGAAAATGGAATTCAAATATGTATGTAAGATCATCCATTATGACAGCATACACAAAATGTAGAAATTTTTATAAATTTTCAGAGAGTTCTATGTTTTAGATCATTTTCTTTTTTTATATTGATTTTTGTTATAAGGTATATGTACTCAACAGAGAGAGAGACAAAGAGGAAAAGTAAGAAATCACACACACACACACACACACACACACACACTCCCTGGGAGGTGGGGGATGGACACACTGATCCTTCTTCATTCTCCTCTCTGGATTTTGAGCATGCATACATGCAACCAGCATGTTTTACAAGCTGCCAGATCCAGGACTCCAACCGAGCCATCAGCCATGTAGGATCCAGCAGCCTTCACCACCACATTACGGGCTGGCCCTTATAATAATTTTCAATATCTTGAGTAAAAGTTCGTAATAAATATATTAAAGATAATGGTACTCATGACCATTCATATTCTTCTTAAATCATGTAAGAATGTAAGTGATGTTCCCACCCAAACACAAAGTGACTGACTCAAAGGGTAATGAATTAGAAGCCATGAGAGGATGTGAATCCAGACTTTCTGGGCTGGCAATGGAAAATTGCAAACTTTGCACTTTATTGTAAACCACATGTAGAGAAGTCTTAGATTATAGATTGATGCTTGGATGCTCTTTTTTACCTTTTCCTTTTCTTTGAGGGCTAAAAGTTTTACTGTCTTAGTGTTTTGGGGTTTTTTTTCCCTGTTGTTGATGTTTTAATTTATAAAATAAGGCATACTTGAAACAAACAATAGAGATACATGTAGAAGAATGAGCTGCATTGTACCTCCATCCTTCCAAACCCACTCAGTGAGCTAATCAGCATTAACAGTTTAGGTAGAGGGACCAGCAAATGGTGTAATATTTATGTCACTAAACTCTCACATGTTGATTGTAGTTCAAGTCCTGGACCCAATGACTTAAAACTCATGCCAGGTGCATGTGCACGTGTGCCCAGGATCCCAAGAATGGAGAATAGAGGAGAGGGGTAACCATCCCCAATGGGGAGGGGGGGGGTACAAGCAGATGGCATGGTGGTAAAGATGCTGGACTCCCATGGTCAACCATGGTTCAAGTCCCAGATGTGACGGCTTGAAAATTACGTTGGGTGTATGTACGTCCATGCCCTATATCTCGAGAGGAGAAAAAAGAAGAGACTGAAGTGAGGCCATCCCCTCAAAGGGTGATTTCTCATTTTCACTCTTGCCGTTTCTCTCTGGCTGTTACACATGTCCTATAACCAAAAATAAACAAATAAATAAAATATAAAAATAAAGATAAAAAATTAAAAATAGGTGGATGATGATGGAACAATAAAATGTGAAGCTATGTTAAGCTGGCCCACATGGGAAGTTTCATGTTTACATCAGAGATCTCCTCCAGTACACCAGATATCGTGTGCCCGTGTTCTATAGCTAGCTCTCTGGGAATGTCATGCTTCAAGGCTGTTGGTAGTGCTGTCACTCTCTCTATGTCTCTCTCCATGGAAAAATATATGAATAAACAACAACAGCTCTTAGAGTTTGAAGGGAGTTTTTTCACATCTTTCTCATCTTTCATATAGCTTACATGGACAAATATAGGCTTTTGCTGTTTTTAATTAAAGTAATATAAACACATGAATTTGAAACTTGTTTTTAAACTTAACTCTGTATGAACAACTTTTCAACCAAAGCATACATATATTCTAGTTTTTTTTTTAAAGAATATCAATTCTAAAACATGGTTCTGCCTCAATTTATTCAACCATTCCCCTTTCTAATAAATAGTCAAACTGTTTCTAGTTTTCTAGCCTTTGCAATGTTCTATACATAAGTGGCTGAGTCAAGTGAAGAGTGTATTTTTTTTTCATTTTAATAAATACTATTAGATGCTTTTCCAAAGAGTTTGTAGCAGTTTGCAGTTCTATCAGCAAAGCGTCAGAATACTTGTCAGCATTATTTGCCAGAACTGGAAGCTATCCTTTTTATTTTTTCCCCATTTTCTACTAAAGTGAAGCATGTAAAATGATATTTTCTTATTTGAACTTGCACTTTTTGTGACTAGTGGGTTTACTTAGCTAATATTTTAAGGTTTGATTTTGTAATGCTTCTGTTTATTAACAAATATATTAATTTTAAATATATGCCTTTTTTTATTTTTAATGTGTCAGAGGGCACATTGACTCACCACATAGAGATATAGAAAGGGAGAGAGGGAAAGTGAGGATGCACCACCCCCCATCGAGAATGGTCATGCCAAATCTGTTTTCCTCCATCTCTCCCTTCTTCCAGGTTTTGGGCACTCATGAAGACACACCTGTATGTTTTTTAAGCACCAGGTCAAGGACTCCAGAAACATGATAGCCAAAGTGGAATCTGGTCACCTTAATGACTACATCATGGGCTGGCCCTAAATATATGCCCATTGATGTTTATATTTAGTTGCCCATATGTACATCATCTAGCCTAAAATGTGTATAACATTTCATGCCATACTTTCAGATTTGGGAACAACTGAAAGGAAGGAAGGAAGAAAGAAAAAGAAATAAAAAAAGAAAGAAAGAACAAAAGAAAGAAAGGAAGAAAGAAAGAAAGAAAGAAAGAAAGAAAGAAAGAAAGAAAGAAAAGAAAAGAAAGAAAGAGAAAGAAAGAGAGAAAGAAAGAAAAAAGAGAGAGAAAGAAAAAGAAAGAAAGAGGGACTAGTAGTTAGCATAATGACTATGTCACTGGACCCCCATGTAGTCAACTGCGGTTCAAGTCCCGGACCCGGTGGTTTAAACTCATGCCAGGCGCGTGTGCATGCATGCCCAAGATCCCAAGAGGAGAATGGAGGAGAAAGGATTGTGGCATTGCCATCCCCCCCCTCGGGGGGGGGGGTGATTTTTCACTTTAAGTGGTTGTGGCAGTGCCAGCCCCCCCCCCGGGGGGGGGGTGATTTCTCACTTTCTATCTCTCTGTCTCTCTTTTTCTGGCGAGTGTACGCGCCCTATAGCAAAAATCTCTCCAAAAAAAAAAGAAGAAAGAAAGAAAGAAAGAAAGGAAGAAAGAAAGATCTTATCTTTCCAATACATCTCTCTTTAAAACTAAGAACTTTCCAAGATGGGATGAGAGAAACTCCTTTTTTTAAGTTTGTTTTTAATTTTTTGAAATATATATACGGTGCATTCACTTGCTGGAGACAGAGAGAGACAGTGAGAGAGAAAGTGAGAAAACACTACCTGGGGGTATGGCCACGCTGCAGTCTCTTCTCTTCCAATCTCCTCCTAGGATTTTTGGGACACACACACACATACACGCACACACACACACACACAGTGTGATTCTCAAGCCACCAGTTCCAGAACTTGAACTGTGATCAGCCTTGTGGGGGTCCAGTGCCTAACCACCACACCACGAGATCCCCTCTTAAACCATTGATACCACTTCTCCACCCAAACCCAACTCATAGTACTATCTAACACAAACCTAGAGATGTTGGGTTTGCTCCTTACCCCATCTCATTTGCTTCCTGCCTACTTAAAATACACTAACTTCCACACACACACACACACACACACACACACACAAACACACACAAACACACACACACACACACACACACGTACATACACTGTACTCATTTCTGCATCTACCCCTGGACATTCGATATTCTGTCCTCTTCTTTTCCTATCTAAACTGTGTTCCTTCAAATTTCCTAGAAAAGAGTATGTGTAATGGATACATGTTTTTACTTCATTAAAACTAATTCTCCTGTTATCATGTAATGCTTTCAGATCATTGCAGTATATGTAAGCACCAGAAATATAAAATTACATTACTAGTTTCTTAATACTGACATAATTTATATGGATTTCAGAGAAGTTTTCTACAATATCACTCATGCTAACTGTAATTGACCTAATGAAACATTGATTGATAATTCTACACAGTGTTGAAATACAAGTGAGGGGCCAGCAGGTGGTGTGGTGGTTAAAATGCTGGATTCCTACATGGCCAACTTTGGTTTGTTTCGCAGACTCAGCAGCTTGAAAAAACACATTGTACATGTGTATGTGAGTGCCCAGGATCCTTAGAGGAGAATAGAGAAGGAATTGTGGCATAGTCATCCCCCTTGGGGGATAATTTCTCACTTCCCCTTTCTCTCTATCTCTCTCCAGAGAGTGCATGTATCCTATGGCAAAAACCTAAAAATAAAATTTAAAATAAAAAGAAATAAAAGAAAAGAAATATGAGTGAACAGTATTTGTTTTATTAAAGGATATGTCCTTTGTCTTAAAGTAATGCTCTTTCCTGTCTCCATTTGTAGGAAAACTTTTTGGGTTCAAGTTTCCTGGTCTGAGAGTTCTCACTTATAGAAAGCAGTCATTACCACAAGAAGACCCTGATGTGGTAGTAATCGATTCATCAAAACACAGTGATGATTCAGTAGCCATGAAGCACTTTAAGTCTCCTACAAAAGAAAGCTGCAGTCCCTCGGAAGCAGATGATACAAAAGCCTTGATCCAACCCAGCAAATGTTCTCCCTTGGTGAATATATCAGGACCTCTGGACCATTCCTCTCCTAAGAGACAATGGGACCGACTCTACCCTGACATGCTGCAGTCAAGCTCTCAGCTGACCCATTCCAGATCGAAGGAAAGCCTTTGTAGTATAAGAAGGGCTTCTTCGGTTCATGACATAGAAGGATTCAGTGTCCATCCCCAGAACATATTTAGAGACCGACATGCCAGTGAAGGTATGTATGATTTATTTTAGAATATAGATGTATATTTTAATTGAAAATGAAAGGTTCTTTTCATATTATTTTTAATTTCAACACTAATTCATATGTCTTA